CCTTTGGCTAATTCTGTCCAATGGATCGTTTACACAATGGATATATTTACGTAAGCTTTACGTAAAGAAATACAAATGCTTTTTGGTGAAAGACCACCTAGTGTTTCACGTATCAATCTGCAAAGAGTTCTTACGCTTACACATTCAATAAGTATAAATTGGTCTTGACGTCGTAAGACGCGTGTACAGTTCTTTACGTTTTCACATTGCGTAAAAGTATAATAAGTAATATTRTATTTACGCATCTTCTTCTCGGAACTGACCTATTTTCAGTTGCAAAAACGCACGTATCGCAAATATATTTTGCYCTTACTGTTTTTCACWGCGCAAGTGTTACCTTTTCTTCTATTGAAAGCCTGCAAACGCGCGTTGTGTTCGGTGWTGCGGGTGTCAGCAAGCTTTTGCAAACTCGCCCAGGTCTCTGTGATTTTGTTGAATCTGTCAAGAAGGCGCTCAAACCGCTACAAAACAAAATAAGATAGGAGAAAATGAGTGAATTTAAAAGTAAAAAATTAAGGGGGAATGCAAACGAGAATGTAAAAAGGAAATAAAAAAAAACAAGAAAGTAACGATGCATTCTYTTTCCCAAATCCCTCTCAGTTTTCCCACGGAAAATAGAAAGCTATGAACCAACTCCGAAACTTAGAAGGGCCTGGGTACGAGAATTGCAGGTTACAGAGAACAAGAAACGAAAGAAAAAAGAAAACAAATAACAAATCAATCAAGAGCAAGATGAAGAAAGAAATGAAAGCAAGCAAGCATGAAATAGAGAAGAACATGAATATTAGACTGATGTTAGCAAAATGACATTMACCTCTGCTTCTCTGCAATGTTCTTCCATCTGCAGTCTTAGTTGCTGTCTTTCTAGAGCTGACAGAGTTCTGGCATGGCCACAACGCCCAAGATGCGGAAATGGGTCCTACATATAAAAAAACAACAACATATTCAATGCCTGCTAGCATTTCTATTGGTTACACTGCTGCCCAAAAGCATGATATAGGAGTGATAGGAACTATAACTAGAAGCTTTAAGACCACTGTTTTCCTAGATTAAACCTCATATTAGCCAGTGCAGCAAAGGCAGTTTAATACAATGTAAAATAATAATACTTTACCAGCATTTGAGCTTTACTCCTGTCCAACAATTCAACATGTTTTGCAAAAGTTTCATAAAGAAGAAGTTTCTGCCAAAAAAAAGAAAGTTAATGATGTGAGTCAGTGGTGGCTTGATTAGTTGCAGATCTATGGGAGGGTTTTGACAAGGAGATGTCAGGATGTAGGGGAGGTGCCAGGAGGAACATACAGAGGGGGATCCATGAAAGACTGCAGGGGTAGGAGGGGGGGGGGATGGAGAGGTCAAAGTAATAGGAACCATAAAGAGGATTCAGGGCATCATGGGAAGGTGYGAGGAACTATAATAAGGTTGTAAGAGTATCAAGGAGAATTAGTTGTTTTAGCAGTTCTTTGAGCTTTATTTGAATCAATCAACAAATAATTTGATATCATTTAACAAATACCTGCTGGGGAGGAAGCCATAGTCCTAGTTTTGACACCCATCGTGGCAAACCACGTCTATTGTGACTTTTAATCTTCTTTGTCCTTTGAAAGGTTGGTGTTGGCGAGGGGACCTGATTGTACTTAGCCGGAACATCATAATCATGCTTGAAATCTTTATTGGCGAGAAACCATTGCTCAAGAAAAGACTCTCCTTGMTCCCTTATCAGTGCCTTGAAAGAAAAATGCATTGAGATTTGTCAGTATATACATGCTAAAGACGCATCCATGGATTGCAACATTTGAACATTTGGCAGTTCATGTTACAAATGTAGCATTAGCAGGGACCGCGGAGCAGGATGAGATATTTGAGGTAATATACACTCTGGTAGAGTGCTTGCACTTAAAGCGTGAAACAAATAGTACTAATTACTACCAAATAGTGTTGATTATACAATAGAAAACGAAGGAATTTGTAAAATTTATCACCTATTTTGTATTATTTATATTTCACGCATTTAGTGTGAGCACTCTACATGCATTTTAAATTGTTATTAATTAAAATAATCTGTCGACCTAAATTTTCCTGTCAATCAACATGTAACTGTTTACAAAAATAATTCATTTGGATACTGAAAGCTGTGTAAGTATTGTAAGCAGTAACAGTGATAGGATTGCACAGTGGAACTCTGGCAGACCACCAAAAAAATCTTCAGCTATAATATTACTTGGATTAGTGTGCAAATTARTTAGATACATGGTATATCTTTCATTTATTTTACATGATGGATACAGATATTGTCATAGTTGATAYAAAAAGTTTCAGTTTTCCAGTTATCAGACAAAATGTTGGACATAAGTTAAGGCCAGGGGTATAAAAATTAATTAATATATGAGGCAAATATTTTTATTGGATAAAAAGTTTTGTATATTCAGAAATATTGGACATCCTTTGAATATTCGTTTTAATATTGTTCTCCAAAGTGCGGAAATTTTAGTCTAAAAACATTCGGTCAACTATCCCTATTGTTCTTTCACAGCTGGAGGTAAAATTTCTTAATCTCTCAATTGTGTTTTGAATTATACTTTTGAAATATTTTGCGAATATAAAATATTTTAGAGTAAAAATAGAGTTTATATAACGTATCTTAACTGCTAGATATAGATTGCTGGTATATTTTGATAGTTTTTTTAGAGGATTTTTTTTCGGATGTTTGCACTTCTCGATGAGACGATAATTTYAATGTTGTGAATTGGATTTATCGACTTAAATTCAATTCAATTTGGTCAAAATAGCTTGAATTCAAATCAATTTAACACTTCAGTCTAAAATAGCACAAACATCGAAAGCCCCAGAAGTTGAAAAGTAGATTCAAAGATCAAAATATGACTTTAATTTTTGATAGGGAACTCATCAATAATTGATCAAATCGGACAAGATGTACTTCATTGTGGTGATGGTATAATTGATTTACTTCAAACTAGGCTCGTTTGACTAGCTAAAAGTGTGAACTACCTATTAAAGTTATAGCGTGAAGAGTTAATAGTTTTAGAGTTTGCCAAGTACTTAGCGCTTTTACCTCGTTGTTTACTTCGTTGTCAATCAGTTTGGCTCCGTCTTTTTCGTTGCCAGGGAAAGTTTTACAACGTCTATGATTGCTTTGATAGTCATTAAGACTCAGTCGATAAGTCCTCTTTTCAGAAGCAACACTCTCAGGCCGCTGAAGAAAGGGTAAAGCAGGCATATTTACACTTCATGCACTGAAGTTCATCCTTCATTGTCGTCTATTCTTGTCTATTGTAGTTTCAATTAACTCTCTGGCGTTGTTAGGAGCACTTACTCGACGTGACGCAATGATGCCTCACTAGGGTAGGGTGGGTGATATTGTAACGYATGAAAAAAACTACAATAAATCTGACGAAAAGAGTAGTAAAAACTCACAATTATCAACAAAATAACYGTTTAATCTTTATAAGACAGATACAAACGCTAAAAGGGATGATARAATCGTCAATCAAAGTTTTARTCAAATTCCTTTACTGGAGTCCTCCCCCCTTGGTTKCGAAACTTGATTAATATTTTTCATAGTTGCTAAGTGAGACTCGTTCACAACTCACGAWACAAATATTATCAAGCGCCTAAGATTAAACAAAAAGAGAGCAAACGAAAGAAAATGTTAAATATTTACTCKGGATTAGAAATCCTAAGATAAACATAACAAAAGTCCTTCAAAATACCTTTGAAAGTAAAGTTTGTCAAAAAGTGATAGCGTGATAATCTTTAAATCAAGTGGGGAGGGGTAAGTAGTGATCGCGCTATCAAACATAGCTATCGAAAATAGCTTTATCTTTTATTATTTCTTGTTTTTATTAACTTTAAGCATATTTTTATTGMTAAACCTTAATTCTGTCAAATATTTTATCAATTTCTTGATAACTTTTTAACATACCTGATTTRTTATTAWAACCYTCCCACCCCTCCTTAGTAGTTAACCAGTCGGTGCGGTACGCGCGCGGTTTCTGCGATGGCACCTTGTGGCTTAGAGCTCACTGAAAGATAGCTCTCTATTTTACGCATCTTTCAACAGTTTAACTAGTCAAATTACGCGCAAAGGTTGACCTTATTACGTAGAATAACTGTGGCAATATCATGTTTACGTAGAGYTTATTAWTGTTGTCCAGAACTGACGTAAAGTCAAGCATCCGAACAGCTGCTTCCASYCTTTGTTCTTCTCCATTCAGTCTGACTGTGTTTACAAAATTACATCCAAGACGGCAAGTTTCATCCTCGACATTTTAGGAGTTAAAGAAACTCTAATACTACATCCTGAGCTCTTCGGAGCTTAATATTTGGTTTATATAACAAGCTACAACGAAGGAGACATTATTYATTTGTGGTTTTTCATCTGCGAGAAAACGAGGTGACAAGTTTCAAGTGAGACTGCAAACTCAGAACGCTGGAATTCAKAGCTTTTATGCATCCGCGACAAAGGAATGACTTCTGAGCTTAATGTAGAAGAGCTCTATTCGCAAGAAGTGAATAAAATCACYCAAGGAATCAAGTCTCTGGTTACGAATTTAAACGAAGGTCCGTCWTTGAAGCGTGTGAGTCCCTTTCACAGCGAAGGCAACTTTTCTAATTCAAACACAACAGGGTCATATCCTCAAACGGATAATTACAATGGTTATAATTACAGTAATCGGCAAAATTATCCGTCTCAAGGAAATAAGAGATACCCTCAWCCAGATTTAAGTTATCCTTCCGAACCCTATACCCCAATGAAGAAAATCCCCACCAGTGGAACTGGGAATACGGATTCCAGAACTTTACAYCCAAATGACTGCGACGAAAGTCTGAGAAGAATTTCCGACTTATCAATGTCTTCAGGTACGTCRTATAGCTCGCAGAGCTCCACAGATGAAATAAATGGGATTTTGAGACAGACACACATTGCCGTCTATAAATTTAATATCCGTCATGAGGATGARCTTGGTCTGGAAGTTGGGGATGCCGTATCATTGTGTAAAGTTCTGGATGATACTTGGTTTGAAGGTAGTAATCTAAGAACTGGTCAAACTGGTGTTTTTCCATCTCGTTATGTKTCTGATATTCTTCAAAGTCCAAGAAAGAGAGGTAAGATTTATATAAAAATTGATAAAGCTTAACTTGCTATGAATTAAGCAGTAAGTACAGAATGGACAACTATCCATATATTTTCAAAACAACATATTCTTATTTAAGTTTACAGTACACGAAAACAATTGTAATTGTTTCAAAATGTTTGTCCTGCATACATGTATCAAAAGTTTGAATAGAATTTTTCAGAAATTTCATCATGATCATATTTTTGTGGTAATGCTAAGTGCATGAGAAACATATGGATTCGAAAATGTCTGGTTAATTTCGTGTAAAATAAAGACAAAAATTTCTGCTCTTGAATTCTGCTGAAAATTAAAATCTTCTCAACATTTTGTGATATGCTATYATTTTATTTCATTTTATTTRWTTTCATCCRGTTTTATTTTRTTCAWTTTTTATAGATTCYTCATCMAGTCCCATCAGCTCTGTTTCTTCTGAAGCAAACCAGTTCTATCTAAGGTACAAATTTAACAATTTAAAGAATAGATTTATGCAAGACATGTATTAATTAATAAACTGCTCACRAAAGTATATCTCTTCCAGAGAAATGTTTTTTCAGAGGTGTTTTTTTTTTTTAAATTACTAGGTAGACCATACCCCCCAGGCATATCTGTCAGACAAGCACATTTGAAATTCAACTTCATATTTGTACAGAATTTCATGGGAAATTACTAGGTTTTTACTGCACATAGCTTCTCGGGAAGCATAATAATTCAATATTAATTTTCATTCTCATGAGCRGTGGCCATTTTGGATACATCTCCATTATTTGTGTTACATTGTATTACATGTTTCATGATTTGTTTTTTGAATTTTTTGTTTTACCTGCAAGAGACATGGAATTAATGAACACTTCAATTTGAGTTTTTCATATAATGAATTATTTAAAAACCTCCCAGACATCAATTAATTTAAAGTTATCAGATATATAACTAAAAGTTAAGAAAATACTCACAGAAAATTGTAGTTTACTTGATATAATACTCAAAAATAGGTAAGTCTTTATGACTTGCGGTTTTTCCAAGGTACTCACTACAATATATATTAAATCTAAAATGATTTTAATAAATTGTCTGAGATTAAGAATTTATACTATGTAGGTTCCAAGTTTTCTACTTATTATAATGCCCTACTTGATGCTGTGTATCACGTATTAATGCATCATCTAAAAATGTAATTGAACTTTTTACATATAAATTAGAAATAGTTTTAACAATTTCTTAGTGAAGTATTGTATAGTGAAAATCATTCTAGACAAGAAAATCAATATTACCCTACCAGTTGTTTAATACTTTATTTTTATTTTTCAAATTTTACTTTATTTTTTCCCCCTTTATTTATTTAGATTTCTTGGTTCAGTTGAAGTCCAGGATTTCAAAGGAAATGAAGTTCTCTGCAGCGCAATGAAAGAGGTACTTAACTTATATTTTTATTTCATGAAATAAAATAAACAAAAGAGAAAAATGGATAGAATAAAAGATATGCAAGAGATAATCATTGACCAAAGGGATTTTCCTTTTTTTCACAATTAAATGCAGCCCCCTACATTCTWTCATGCATTTTGATCAAAGATTCCAGATTCTACCCTATAGTAGATTCTGGACTCCACCATTTTATTGAAATTGATTTCCAGATTAACACTATACTATGGTTCTACAAATGTTGTTTTGTTTAGGGAAAAATGCTGAAAAAATGTAAATTTCATCCTTTTCGAATTAGTGTCTAAATTATGATTTTAGGACAATTATTATTAGCTATTAATTAAAACTAAATTATCAGAGTTAAAGCACTTCCAAGGGCTTGGCAAAAAGTTCCATGAAATAATRCTGAGGAAGAAATGATTGCTTAAAGTTGCTTWTRATGAGTTGTTTTGGGGCATYGTGGGAATGAATAGGTTTAATTGTTTCTTCTATTGCTCTCTCACAGATTGTCAAGCAACATCAGATTGCATCAATATCCAGTCCCCCCTATTGCACACTAGACATTACCATACATGGTATCAAGATTACTGAACATCAAGGACATCCACAAAGGGTACTATACATACTACTTACCAATATCCATTCACCCAACCCACCCTACCTTGTATCTTAAATTTGYAATAGGGACCATGGAGCAGGGGGAAGATGAGCTGTGGCAGGAAATCGAATTTTATTGGTCCCTCTACTTGATAAAGCCTTCTTCGGTTATTACCACCCCTCCCCTCCCCTCCCATTACCTCTCCCCTCCCCCCCACAAACACACATCCCTCTCCCCCCACTCCAACAACAACAACAACAACAACAACAAAAACATATATGCTCCACGTCCACGGTCCCTGTACAACCCCTTGCACATAGTGCCGATATTCAACTTTTAACTCTTTAGTTCGTCACCCASATCCTGTATTTACTRGCCCTGATGCTTTCACAATTCTTCACTGCATTTTTGTGGCTRCTGTTATTTARTATGGWTAACACTATGCTATGGTTTTGTAAATTAGATCGTCCRTAAGGTTGCTAACTGTTTTTGCTTYGTTTTTATAGTCTTTCAATGGAAAGAAACCAGGTAAAACCAAGGCAGGGATCAAGCTTTTYGACAAAGACCAACAAGTTAGTGYCATTGYTTTTCACAGKAAAATATAATTTAGGCTGCTTTTTAAAGATGTGCAAGGAACCCTGAAGTTTTCTTTCCTTCTGACAGGAACTACAAGAGACTTCCCATTTCTTTGATTTAAAAAATGTTACATTTTGTGGATGTCATCCAAATAATTCAAGGTAAAACACGAGCTCCTCCGTTCGATCTTTTTTTGTTCGTYCCTTGCTTGCTWGCTCTCTCGCTCACTTAGTTCTTTCATTTGAGTCTGTTTGTTCGTTTGCTCTCTCACTCGCTAGTTCGTTCGTTCGAGTGCATTCGCTCGTTCGTTCGGTTTATCTTCGGTGTCATTCTAACAATTTAAAGTAAAAAAGCAGCCTCCCTTAATGTTTGCTTAAGAAAGCTTGAGCCACACCCTACTCTACAAACTTTGTCACTGATCTGTCGTGAAGATAATGGCTAGTCCGATTTTGATGTCAATTACG